GAACACTTTAATTAACAGCGCATCACCTCACCCTCCAACAATGAGTCCTGCTGGGTCTGTGAGACAGAAGTCAGGTAATCAGGCAGAAGAGCAACACCTCTCCCTGATTTGACATATCTGTCTATCTAGCTATCATCTATCTGTCTGTCTATCTATCTATCTATCTATCTATCTATCTGGCCTTGTAAATAAAAGTGTTTGATTTGTGGTTTATGATTCCAAAGGGTCAGAGTCCATGACCATCATGGTAAGGAGCGGGCAGGCAGGGTGCTGGAGCAGTAGCTGAGAGCTTACATCCTTACCCATAAGTAGGAGACAGAGAGAGAGCACGCTAACTGGGAATGGTCTGGGCCTTTGAAACCTCAAAGCCCACTCTCAGTTAAGGCGATACATACACCTTAACTGTACCATGTGAACCTTGGGGCAGGGAACCCAGCTATACCTTTTCTGGACTTTAGACCCATAGAAGCTGTGATAACAAAGGATGTCGTTTTAAGCTTTACATTTGTAGCAAAGTGTAAGGAAGCAACAGCAGCAGCAACAACAATAAAATACAAACCCCACTACAATCCATTTATCTATCACAAACTCAACTTCTAATTCTCCATCAAGGTTACTGTGCATCTCAGTGAAGCCAAGCACGTTAATCGATCGACTCCAGTTTTATTTCATTGCCTTTTACTTTTATTTCTTTATTTTGAGAAAGGATTCCTTTTGAGTAACTTTGAATTCTAGGAAGAGCCCAGGCTTGAAGGACAGCCCCCACCAAGAGGAGGACAATTATCTATGAGGGTGAGGTTACACGTGACTGGTTTCTTTTAGTGGAGTCATCTGTTTTGTTGTGAGTTATCGACGTTTAGTCTTTTGGCATGGCAGAAGGGTGTTCCGCTGTACATATGTGCCACATTGAAAGACATGCTCTTATCAGTTAATCCATATCTCTGTATGATAAAAGTCCTGAGACTCTAGAGATGCAGAGGCCGTATCTCAACATAATAAGAGCAATATACTACAAGCCTACAGCTAGCATTATGCTAAACAGGGAAACTCAAAACATTTTCACCAAAATCAGGAGCACGTTAAGGACATCTATTCTTAGGACATCTACTCTTTCCTTTCTGGCTCAGTATAGTGCTTGAACTCTGAGCTAGAGCAATAAGACAAATAAAAGAGATAAAGATAACTAGGAAAGAATGAAGTCAAAGTCTCTTTTTTTGCAGGTGATATGATTCTATACATAAGAGACCATAAAGATTCCATCAGAAATCTCCTACAGCTGATAAATACATTCAGCATGGTAGTAGGATACAAAATGAACACACAAATCCCAGTGACCTTTTTATATAGCAACAGAAATACACTGAGAAAGAAATTAGGAGAACAATTTTGTTTACAATGGCCCCCAAATCATCTTGGAATAAATCTAAGCAAGGAACCTAAAGACTTGTACAATGAAGACTTTAAGACACTGAAGAAAGAAATTGAAAAAAAAAAAAACCCAGAAGAAAAGACATCTCATACTCCATGGATCAGTAGGATTAATTTTCTGAATAAAGCCACCCTATAAAAGCAAACTGCAGATTCAATGCAGTCTCTTAAAATTGCAATGTAGTTTCTTTTTATAAAAAAAAGTAATCTTAAATTTTATAAGGAAACACAAATCTCTGGATAGCCAAACAACCCAGAGCAATAAAACAAACAAACAAACAAACAAACAAACAAAACTGCCAGAGGTATCATCATCACAGATTTCAAGGTATACTACATATAGTATTTAAAAACCAGCATGCTATCAGCATAAGACTAGACACTGATCGACAGAATAGAACTGAGTGCTTACACATAAGCCCAAATCCCTATAAACACCCAATTTTCAACAAAAAAGCTAACAATACACATTGGGGGAAAGACAGCATCTTCAATATAAGGTACTAGTCAAACTGGGTAATATAAAAATATATTATAAATATATATTTTATAAAAAGTAGGCCCTTATCTGTCACAAAACTAGATTCCAAATGGTTCAATATAAGGTGGATATTCTGAATCAGATAGGGGAGAAAGCAGGGAGTATGCTTCAACTTTTACACACAAAAAAAGCACAGGGGGCTTTTTGAACAGGGCCCCAGTAGGCCAAAAATTGATGAAGACTTCATGAAGCCAAAAAGCTTCTGTCCAGCAAAGAACATAACCATTTGAGTGAAGAGGTTGCTTATAAATGGGAAAAAGTCTTTTCCAGAGTATCTAGAATATATAATGAACTACAAAACCCTAAATAACAAGAAAACAAACAACCCAATTTAAAAAAATGAGGCATGGAACTAAACAATAGTTTTTTTTTTTTTTTTAAAGAAAAATACAAATAGCTGAGAGATTTTTTTTCAAAGTGTTTAATGTCTTTAGTCATTGGGGAAATGCAAATTAAACTTTTTTTTTTTTTAGATTACATTTTACTCCAATCACAATGGTTAAGACTTCAAGAACCCAATATTCACTAGTGCAAACTGATTCAACCACTATGGAGGTTCCCCTAAATCTAGAACTAGATCTATCACACGATCCAGCCATACCACTGGGTTCATATCCAAAGGACTCTGTATCCTAATGCACTTGTTCCTCCATGTCCATTGCTGCTCCCTTTGCAATAGCTAAGAGATAAAAACAGCATGGATGTCAGCTCATGAACAGATAATGAAAGTGTGGTATGTTTATACAATGGGATATTACTCAACCATTAAGAAAAATGAGATTATGAAATTATGAAACTTGCCAGTAAATGTATAGATCTAGAAATAATTATTCCGAGTGAGGTAACCCAGAGCCAGAAAAACAACTGTCGCATGTTCTCTCTCAAATATGGACACTAACTTTCAGGCTTTTGATATGTATGTTTAAACTGGAATACCCACAGAGTTTGCGAAACTAGTAAGGGGTTCGGGAACCCCTCTAGGGAGCAGAGGTAGGGTGAGGTGGTGTATAGGAGAGTCAGGACTAACGGAGCAAGGAGGGTTGAGTGGGGAGAAATATGAGGGCAGAGTAGAGGAGGGAGTTGGAGGAACAAATAAATGAAAGACCTCTGAGAGGTCACGTGGAAGCCATAATATAGAAGCTTCCTGAAATACACTCGTATAGCGAATTGGAAAGATGGTTCAGTGGTTAAGAGTACTTACTGCTCGCGGTGGTTTGAATGAGCATGGCCCCCATAGACTCATAGGTTTGAGTGTTTGATCCCCAGTTGGTGAACTACTTGGGAAGAGGAGGTGTGTCCCTGGGAGCAGGCTTTTAGATCCCTACTTCAACCACACCTTCAGTGTTCTTTTTAGTTATGTGAGGTGATATATGCTCCATGGGTCAGGGTGTGGTTATCTTTTGGGTCATTATATATCCTACCACAGTTTTTTCCATTATAAATATGTATAGAATTGAAACAACGATTTCCAAATCAAGTGTGGCTCTGCTTGAGTCCCCATCTCCCTCAGCTTCTCTGCCTCAGTAAATGGACTAATTTGTTCATGTTAGACTTTGGTTCCTTCATATCCTGTTCAGCACTGTCCACATTTTCCCCTTCACCAAGGTGTCCTACCACTCTGCCCTCTAGTAGGTCCCTGCCTGGCCCTAGCTATGACTTCTGGGTCCCCTCTTCTGGATATTCTCCTCTCAGCTTTCCCTGTGTCCTTTCAGTGACTGTTGAGATGCCTTCTCAAATAGTCTTTCTACAGCACATTGAATCAGGATCCCCCCATCTCACTCCCCCACTCCCAGACTCACCATGCACAGTTTCCTCCACCAGTTCGCCCTTTTGCGTAATCTTCGTTTTGTTACCATGGTTGATAACCAAATTACTTCATGTTGCTTCTTTCCCCTTCTGTGTAGCACTCAGTAGGTACTCAATCCGTATTTGGCATCCTCTATATTTGGACTTTCCCCCTAAGCTTTCTGCTTTCATTTTCCCTTTGTTCTGACACTCTTGTTTTCTTTTATAACAAGACAAACCAGAACCCTAGGCTCTCCTGGGGCTGGGGTGTTCCAGCTGTCTTGGTGGTCTCCTTCATGGTTTCTACCTTCCTGTCCAGTCACACTGAGCTGTATCTTTAGGAAATGGAAATGTTTCTACTAATCGCATCCTCAGGAAATAGGGGGATTCACTCTGGTAGGACAGCATTGGCCAAGGCTGTCCAAAAAGAACTGGCAGCCTTTTTGGACCAAGGGTTAGCATCACTCAGCCTAATGATGTAAAAAGTTGATTCTCACTCAGGAGGCACAGAGTTTTTCTCAGAATAATTCGGTACAAATTGCTTTCCCCCTTCCTTTCACTAGGACTTGAGATAAGAGAAACTAAGGATCTGGATTCTAGGGAGGAAGATCAAAGTTCAAAGCTCTCCTGTTTGCTGAAAGTGAAAAGGACCTTTGAGGTAAGTAGGGTGTGAATGTGGGTGGGTGCAGTCAGTGGGGAGATGACAAAGGAGCCCCCTAGGGCAAAGAGGTCCATAGTTTTTCCTCCTGACTTCAGTTCCTTGAGTACAGCACGCAGGGAAACTTCCTTTATTCTCAGGTCTTGTATCTTGGCACAGAGCCTTTGATCTTCGGCATAGACTCCTCTTGTCTGCAGGACTTCTGTGTCTGTTCGAGTTGCTAGATCCGGGTGGATGGAGTTCAGCTGACTATGCTGTCAGGACAGCTCGCCCAGGCAGCAAGTTGGTCGCTCCCCCACCAGCGCCTCCTTTTCTATAGGTGCCACATGCCACAATTTATACACATGATTTGGCTGATTGTTGCAGTCCGGGCCTGGAATAATTTTAATTAACGGGAAAATTGTCCTCAATACACCGATTAGACCTCTTCAGGTACAACAAGATAAAAGCCTGATAATTTGGATGGAGTACTCTTCTTAAACGTCTACTGTAGGCAGGGCAGCCAATGAGAAAGCCAGGCTGACTCCCACCTGATCCAGTGAGTAATTAAGAGAGCGCTTTTTCTTCTCCACCTCTCCCCCCTCTCCTCCCTGCTCCCCAACCGAAGCTTAACAGGTTGGTGGTATAATTTGGAGACTTTCAGGGGTGTCACATTGGAAGCTTACGCAAGAACCAAGGCATCTTCTTCTACTCCCAGACACTGACCAGCCTGTGTTGAAAAGCTTAGCAAGTGAGGGAAGGAAGGAGCTGGAGGCAAAGAAGGTGGGACCGGCTCTTAGCAAAGTTTGAGCGGGTCTACGGCCATGAGTGAACTGGCCACACAGAAGGCTGGCGAAGGCACTGTGTCTCGCTTGCTTAATGTGGTGGAAAGTGAGCTTCAGGCAGGGAGGGAGAAGGGAGATCCTACAGAGAAGCAACTTCAGATCATCCTGGAGGATGCTCCCCTCTGGCAGAGATTCAAGGAAGTCACTAACGAAATGATCGTGACCAAGAACGGCAGGTGAGTTGGACTGCAGCCCACTTGTGCTGGCCACCGCTTGACCAGGAAGGTCAGGCACCTTTAGTAGGGAAGAGGCCGCCACTCTTCATACAGAGACAGCATGCTCTGAACATCTTAAAGACAGTCTCAGCTGGGTGTCACTCAGCCAATTTAATTTCTTTGAGAACATCAGAGCAGTGGAAGATGAAGGCCACCTGTCTTACACATGTATTATATGGGGAATTATTTGTCAGAGGAGCATGCCCCGTGTACTGGGGAAGTGGATTCAACTGTCAGAAACTGGTATTAATTTTTGACTGTGTCCCCTGAAGCAGACTTGTGCTCAGTCCTGTTTGGATGTGAAAGTTGATTTTATTTGGAGACTGGATAGTTTGTTCTTAAGCACAGCAAATCCTTCAGACAATTTTAACGAGTTGAATATTGGGATTGAAAGGGCCATATTGCCTATCTCTGCCTGCTTCCTTGTGTGCGTTGAGGGAGAGGGTTGAGTTTCGATTGTGTGTTTCCCATAGTTATGAGTATGGGAAAGCTGGCGTAGCAACAGGGAATGAAGCCTTAATATCCGGTCTCAGAGAAGAGAAGTTTTCTTCTTCTGTTCTCCCTGCAAAGAGTGGGAATTGCAGATACCGCTCCCTGCTGGTATTTCCCAGATTCTGTGAAGCTTAGCCTGTTAAGGGGCTTTTGAAGGAACATTAAAAGCTTGCCCTTAGCAGAGGAGATGCAAATATTTTGAAAGAGACTCTTCACTGCATGCTCACACATCTTTGGGTACCCATGGACACAAAAGTCCCTGAAGGACATTTTCAGTAGTGTTGGTTGTGCCAGGACTCTTATTCTGACACCTTGAGAGAAATTTTTGCTTATAGAGAAAAGTTGAAACCCACTGAACCTGAGGCTGGCTTTTGTCCTTGAGAAAAGGCCTTCAATTCCTGGTGTTTTAGCGTTCTAATTCTGAATAAAATGCAACACCAAAAGTGAGCTATCTCTTGTACAGCTGGGAGGGTTATGAACCTGGGAGCCGTTACATGACAATAAACTGTGTTGTGAGTCAAAATTATGAGGTAAACACATACATTTTATAAACTACAATTATGGTAGCAAAGCTACTAACCTTCTATAAAAGTGACTTTTTTTTCCTTTCCAAACAGGTACCCATATGTGTACTATACATTTTATTGCTTTGAATATTTGAAAATTTAATTTTACATATTTCTTTTCTTGATATAAAATACTTTTTAATTTCAAAGGACTACCCTGCATTCTCAAGTGGATTTGGTCCCTTTCAAAGATGAGTGCAGATGCACTTGTGAATCGCAGCTGGTTGTGTGGCAAGCACTCTGTGTGTGCTGGGTTACTGGCTAACCACACCGGTACATTCCATTATTTGGTCATCAAAGCGGCCATGTATGGCAATCTAAATGAGTGCAACCAATATATGAAGATACGGTTCAAGTATTTTAATAAAGGCAATAGGATTCTTGGAGGCTTTACAAAATCCAAACTGATAGTAAATTATAGCAGAATGTACCTTTGCCACTTGAAAAGAGTGTTTCTTAAGCCTTAAAAAAACAAACAAACAACCTCAGCAAAATTTCTTTCGGTATTTAAAGTTTAAAGTTACTTGTGCTTAACGTCACTCCTACTAATTATGTGATTTTTTTTTTTTCTGGTGTGGAAACAGTGCACTTGTGGCCAAAGTGGTTCTTTGCTGTGAATGAAATCTTTTTCTGTAACTACCTTACATCCTCTGCTGAGCCTTTGGGATCAAGATTTCCCCAGGCATTGGGCATGCTTTATGCTTTAGAGGAGGAGGGGCTGCGGGGGTGGGTACCGGTGGAACTTGCTCAGGGTCTGCTTTCTCTCTCCTTGGGTTCTCAGGCTACTTTAGTAGACTTACTTTATTTCCACACCACAGACCACAGCTTTCCCGCTTTATCTTCTCCTCACTCGACTCTTCCTTCCCGTCCCCCGATTGTCTCTTCCCATTCCTCTCCAGATTCCTGCCTTCCTTGCTGTCTCCCCAGCAGGTGGGTCAGCTGTCCTTCTCCAGGAGAAGCTGCTTTACCGCCTGGCCCTGTGCATTACCAGCTTGAGTTTTCCAGAATGTTCTCTTAGATGAGTGAGCCTAGCCCTGAACACTTGTACTCACTTGCATGGCTCCCTTCTCTCCTCTGTCTGCCTTGCTCCCATTGCAAATTCAACAACAACAACAACAACAACAACAACACCCACACTTTTAGCCATTCAGATACAGTAGTAACTACAACACAGCTGGCCCGTGTTTGCTTTCACTTCCACCCTTAGGAATTTGTGTTAGGTGACCGAAAAGAATTCAATTCGAGTAAACAGGCAACTCAATTAAATCTCTTGTAGTTCTCTCCTTCCTTCTTCCCTCCTTCTCCCCTTCCTTCTTTCCCTCTCCCCTCTTTCTTCTTCCCTCCCTCCATTCTTCTTTCATTTCCTCCTTTCCTCATCCCTCCTTCTCTTCCTTCCTTTTTCTTTCTTCCTTTATTTCTTTCCAGTACTGGGTGCTGCTTACACACTGGGCAGGTGGTATACTATGGAGCTATATTCCCAGCCTTCTTTTGAAGGGTCTCACTAAGTTGTCCAGGTGGGGCTTGAAGTTCCTTGGAACCCCAGCTTGGCCTTGAGACATTTCTCATGCCTCAGCCTCCCGAGTAGCTGAGACACTAGTCTGTGAGCTGAGACCCAATGCAGTTGTTTTCTTTATCTCTAAACATTTTCATCTGAGAGGCAAGTGCTGTACTTCATGTATATATTATGCAGTTATTTGCCTTGTAGAGATTTTAAGAACTGGAAGCATTTTCTGACATATCTGGTACCTACTGACCATCATGAATAGGGGAAGGGATGCAGAGTTAGAATCAGTTGCTAAGTGGGGGGTGCTGGGGATGCTCAGCTCCAGCTGGCAGTGTCCAGTGAGGGCAGCACAAAGGAGGAAGAAGCAAGGTTGCACTTCAGACAGGTTCATCTCCATGTCTGTATAGCCCGTGAACTACTTTCTCTACTTTTTACAATTACAAATTATATCATGTCTATCTGCACAATCTGCTTCTTACAGGATGCTACTGCTCTCTTCCCTCTGATTTATATGGAATTGATAGCTGAGCTCATGCCTACTTACTTTCATGTGTTGACATTCATATACCATGTGCTTCATAGTCATACAACATCCATGCACATAGTCACACGCACACCTCAACCCCGAGAGCTCTAGTGAGCATCTGATGACAGTTATTGTTTGGTGAGTGAGAAAGGTGTTTTTGATCAGGATCTCCTGAATGTTGCCTTGGACTGCCTCTGTTCTTCCCCTCCTTACAAAACCTGCCTTAGCTCTTCCCCTCACTGAAGCCCTCACTCCTTCTAGACTCTTTCAGCAGGGCTATCTCAAAAGATTCCTGTTGGTGAAATAAAAACTGGATAGCTAGCTTCACAGTGAAACCAAAGCCAGGTTTGCAGGTAAACCTCAACACCCATGGTGTTTAGGGACACGTTGCTCACTTTGTCATGTTTCCTCTTTCTTCCCTCTCCACAACTCTCTCTCTCTCTCTCTCTCTTTTTTCCCTTTGAAGAGACTCTCTTTCAAGGATGATTTAAATGATGGTAGTCTGTGAGTTAGAGGCTGATTCATCCTAGGCTTTTAAACTCCTCAAATACCCTCTCTGCTTAGTCAAGCTTTGGGGTGAAGTGGAAGGAAAAAATTACTTTAGATAGAAGTGGCTTCTATCTCTGATAGCAAAGTCCTGCCCTGATCGATGACTAAGGGTATTTAGATGATGTGTCAAAGGTCATTGTATGCCAAGACAAAGGAGGGGATAGGGTTGATGAGATGGAAAGAGATTAGCTTGGCTAATAGGGAGGTCTTGTCCAGTTCTAAGACCTTTGACAAGCTGACAGATTTATTCATTCCTCATTGCCATAGTAGCGATTAAAATTACTTGTTATTTGGTTCATTCACATGTCTATCTCAAAACCAAGAATAATTATAAAGTTTTTGGCAAATGGAACATTAAAGGGCAGAAAACAGTTGATCATTTGATCATTTTTCATATTGGACCTCCTTCCACGCTTCTTCATTTTAATTAACAGCGTTACTGTGTGATGTGGTTCATATAACGTATTACTCATCCACGTAAGGCACACAGTTCAGTAGGTTTAGCAAATTCACAGAATTGAGGATCCTGCTCCACAATTGATTTTAGGACATTTTTATTGTCTTTGACCAACCAAGGTACCCCATATCTTTTAGTCATCACTGGCCCACTAGTCTACTTTCTGCCTCTGTCAATTTAGCTATTCTGGTCATGTGATTCTTTGTGAAAGTGTTAACACATAGCCCAGGGGTCTTTAAGGTTCATGTATATGTACACAGAAGTACTGCAGATCTTTTGTGACCAAATAAAACCCTATCAAATGGATGTAATGCATTTTTCATCTACTTATCATTCGCGGATCTGTTTTTGTAAAAATGCTGCTATGACATATCCATAGTCATGTGTCTCCATCTTTCCTGCATACATACCGAGGAGTGGAATTCCAGATTAACTCATAACTCCATATTTAGTTAAACAGACCATTTTCCAAAGTGACTGTACCATTCAAATCCCTCTACAGTGCTGTGAGAAGGGCTCCAGTCCCTTTCCATCCTCACCAACATTTTCTGTTGTCTCACTTTTCCACTGTGGCTGTCCTTGAAGGCATGAAGTCCTTGAAGGCATCTCACGTGTATGCTTTTAGGATGACTAGTGATGTTGAGTGTCTACTTGTACAGTCTAGGTTTCTTTACAGTATCAAGTTTATCTCTGAAATACCATTATGGGTTTCTTCTTCACACAATAGAGCTTTGAGTCTAAGAGTGGGTCTTATTATGGAAAGACCTATGGGGGATTTCCTTCTCTTTGCCCCAGCAGATACAGCTTTTTCTTTCAGTCTCTTGGCTGATAGGCTTATGAGAACCTTTAGGTCTTTGTACTAAAACAGGGGCATAGTGACATCTTCTTGTGAAGAAGGAAGACTTAAATGAGATGTAACTTACTCTAACCCCTGGGTGCATATGGTAACAATTATCACCAGAAAGTGAACTTGCATTAAATTATCTTGTTAATGGTGAGTGAGAACTATACAAAAACTCCCTGTGTTTGATGCCACACTGTCCTCTTGAGCAGTTGCATCGTTCTGTGCTGACTGTGTGGGGAACAGATATACTTTGCAGATTTTTTCCTCTTACTTAGAATGACATGATACTGATGCTACATTCCTCGTGGTACTTTAGTTCACAAAATGACAATTGTATGTCATGCTTGTGCTGTTATCTGTCTGTCTATCTCTATCTATCTATCTATCTATCTATCTATCTATCTATCTATCTATCTATCTATCTAAAGAGAAGGTCTGATTATGTAGCCTTGGATGGCCTGGAACTCACTATATAGACCAGGTTGGTCTTGAACTCATAGAGATCCACCTGCCTCTGCCTCCCAAATGTGACTGTTCCTTTCACTTTGCCACTGACCATACTCTATTCGTGTGAGTGTGTGCACGTGCATGTGTGTGTGTATTTATAATGTAAAATGAAGTAGAACAAAACAAAAACAAACCCCAAATGTATCACTTTGGGAGAAGCTTGGGACCAGAAGACAGAGCACTTGCAACCATACCTCCTATGAATAACAGACCTTCCCAGCTGTTAGAATGACTTCCTGGGTCTCTATGTCATTTATCTAATGTCCACATTTATCTTTCTTTGCAAAGGACACTTGTATTCAGTAACTCCTCTTGTCTACACTGGGCCAATACTATTAAAATAATGGAAAACATTAAAATTCACAGAGAAGAGAAATATCAATCTGATATTAAGAGAAAATAATGGAGAAACTCCCTTCTACTGATTCTATTAAGGAAAAAGGCAAAAGAAATCAGAACAGGGAAGATATTACATCATCAGCCTTCCTGGTGACCTGAAAGGGAAGTCATCTCAAGGAGGGAAGTGAGATGGGACTCTCAGCCAGGAATATGGGAGGGTTGCACATTATCTGGTGCATTTTATTTGATGCATGTAGTTAGTCTCATTTATGGATGCTCATGTTGCTATAGTGCAGTTTTATAAAGTTGCAGGGACTCAGTGAGTTGATTCTTGGGAAGTGTTTACTACGATACCCAGTGAATGTGCCAAGTGCATCTGCCCTTAGATCATGGCCTCCAGCTGGCCAGACCTGCTGCTGTTCTAGACTCTTACCTTGGGTCACTTTAGACATTATAGCACATGCATTATCAACTGTGCCCCTAGCTGGCAGGAATCTGTGACACTAATCTGGCCCTGGTGCCCAGAGGCACCTCCTTCTGCTTTTCCTTCTGGAAACAGGACGTCTAGAAAGAGCTGGGGATGGAGTGATGGCTGCTATGTGGTTTCTCTTTGTGGGTGCCGAAGAAAAGCAACGGGATCAGATGTCAGATGTTTAGGTAGATGCAAACAGTGGCACTGTACTAGGGGGAGAAGGATTAGTGAATCCATGTTTACATCACCGCTCCCTGTTCAGCCTGTGCATGGGTATAGGGAGACTCTGGGAAGTCTGCAGGAAGGGAACTCTAACCCTGTTCATCTGACATCCCGTTTCCCCTGACTTTACCATGCAGCCATCCACACACTATCCCCTTTACTCACAACCAGTGTTCTGTGTGAGTCTGGGGAGAGCAGGTCTGTAGCGCTGGGATGTGAGAGAGAAAGCTGTCTGAGAATGTGGCATCTGAGGACATACTTGTGTGTATGTCCTTCTGTACGAAATGACCAGACTTTTACACAGATTTTCTGCAGATTTTAACACACAGAACAGTGCTCTATAGTCAAAGCCCAGTGTCAAACGTGTTCCTAAAAGGAGGCTCAGGTAAAAGAGTGGTCTCAGCTGCTGTCTATGTAGCCTCTCTTCCAGAGCATTTCATGGAAGGTCTCCTCAGAGGTGCGAGGCCTCTGGGGCCAGGACGGGACGGGGACCTCTAAGATCCTTTTGTGTTCCCAGACGGATGTTCCCAGTCCTGAAGATCAGTGTCACAGGACTGGACCCCAATGCCATGTACTCCCTCCTGTTGGATTTTGTCCCGACCGATAGTCACCGCTGGAAGTATGTCAATGGCGAATGGGTACCCGCAGGCAAGCCAGAGGTCTCTAGCCACAGCTGTGTCTACATTCACCCCGACTCTCCCAACTTCGGGGCTCACTGGATGAAAGCTCCCATCTCCTTCAGCAAAGTGAAACTGACCAACAAGCTCAACGGAGGTGGGCAGGTACGCGCGGCCTCCCCACACGCCAATCAAGAAACATCAAGGGTGCATTTAGGCAATTAGAGAGGTCCTCACCAGCCTCTTTGCCCACAGAAGCCGGTTATTTCCTGGAGTCCAAATGTAAACAGGAATAAACAGCTCTTAATTGGTGCTTCAGTTTTTAATGGACTTCCCGATGTTAAGAGAACGAGAGTGCACTAGTTTACTTAATCATTGGGCTCTTTTCCGTTTTGTCTTGTGTGTGGTGCTTTTTACCCAGCCCAGGGAGGGAGATGTTTGTGGGTACCGGGGTTTTGTTTTTCTCTCCCCCCCCTTTTTTTTTGGTGTAAGTGGCATGTTGGCAACACACAAATACCTTAATAAAAAGCTGCTCCTAAATGAAATAATTACTTCTTCTGCTTGGGCATTATGATAATTATCAATAGAATATTGAATCAGCTTTGTGGGTTTTTTCCAGAAAAAAAAAATAATCCAAACAAACCTTAAATAAGGAAGGTTTTATTTAAAATCTCCAATTAGAGCAAACATGATGTGAAAGCCTTCCCCCTCCATTTCTGAGGCAGGTTGCAAAGCCAGCTCCCTGGGTTAGACTGTCAGTTACTTTATAAAATGCAGACTATGTGGGGCTGAGGGAGATGGGACTTGGACCTCTCCCCAGCCCTCATATTTGGCTTTGTTTGTGCTAAGCCTGTGCTTTCTCCTTTCTCTTGGTGCTAAGTGGCGGGGACCTTGAGAGTTCATAGTTTAGGAGGTAGAAGTAATGTAACCCCAGGCTTTGTGTGAGCCAGGATGTTCTTTATTAAAATGGAAACTTGAAGGTTAGTTGTTCCTGCCCAGTTAGATCTCACAGCATGAGGCTTTCAATAGCCTCTCATTTAAATCATGAACAGTAAATTTAGTGTAATCCCCTGGCGTCAGATCTCAGCCTGTAGCTGCGGTTAATATTTCGAGTTACTAGGATTCTAAATATATGAGCAAATATATATATTTGAATGGATTGAAATGTACATAGTCATGCTGAACACAGAGGAATCAAGAAAATGGAAGCCTGGATTTAGGTAGATAAAAGAAGGCTTAAGAACAGCTTTTCCTGGGCTGTCTGCTTCTGACTCCAATGTGAGCATCATTGCAGTGCTTGTTGGGAGTGTCTAAAAAACGTCTCCATATTCGTCTGACATAGGCTTTCGTGTGTGTGTGTGTGTGTGTGTGTGTGTGTGCGTGTGTGTCCCTAGGCTGGGCTGGGTGGGGTGTTGAGCTTGGGAAGAATCCAAGGTGCTGACTAGCTGATCAACTGTGATACGCTGGGCTTAGCTTTGCTTTATAACCGTTTTTCCTCCCATTAAACAGATAATGCTGAATTCTCTGCATAAGTATGAGCCTCAGGTTCACATAGTACGCGTTGGAGGTGCCCATCGCATGGTCATGAATTGCTCCTTCCCCGAGACTCAGTTCATCGCTGTGACTGCCTATCAGAACGAGGAGGTAAGTGAGCGTGTGTGTCTGTTGCACGTGTGTGTGTGTGTGTGTGTGTGTGTGTGTATGCCTGTACCTGTGTACAGATCTGGGGCCCCCTCCCCTGGTGTATCGGCGTGTGTGAATGTTACAGGATGGAAGAGCATGTCAGAATTGGTGAGGAATCTTTTTATTGCAGGCGAGACTGAATAGAATTTAGAGTTTTGAGGATTCTGATGCTCAAAATCAGTGATAAGGCTGAACAGTGAGGTGCGTGTCGAGGCTCCTGTGCCTGTCTGTTTGCCGAAGGCCCGTACATTAGTCAGCTTTCTGTCGCTGCTACAGGTATAGAAGACAATACAGAGAAGGCTTACCTTGTCTTTCTGTTCTGGAAGCTCCAGTACAGGTCTAACTGCCCCTTTTACTGTTCTGGGGAAAAAAAAAACTCCCCAAATTCTTTCCAAGGGCATGTCTCAGTGATCTGAAGACCTCTGACTAAGTCTATCTCCTCAACATTCCGCCACCTCCCAGGGGCGCCAAGCCTTCACACATGGGCCTTTGAGACACTCTCAAGATCTAAACTATAGCAGCCCACCAAAAGCAGCCTCTCTTGGAGCCAATAAAACACAGTTGTATAGAGCTATAAAACTGCTGAGTCATGTGCTCGCTTCAACAGTGCTCGTGTTTGTGTGTGCGCGCACACACACACACACACACACACACTCACACTAAAAAACTGCTGAGTCATACCAGAAAACTGGACTCTGTTTTGCCGACCTGTGTGAGAGGAGTGTGGACAGGCAGGGTGGTGGGCAGCTTCTCCTTTCTGTTCTGGAGGTTGTGGGGTTGACGCCTGTGTCCTCCTGCGGTTTTTATGAGACTGTCTGTCTGCCTGTCAGTTTTTTCTCTCTGAGCAGTCAAGTTTTTTCTTTCTTAGTGACTCGAACATTGACCGAGTTTTTAGAATTCCAAGCCTGGTCTCTCAGTGAACCACTCTGAGTCCATCCCGTTCTCCAGGGGCTGTTAGTCCTGAGAATCAACTGGGTAACCCTGGATTCTTTTTGATTAAGCTTACACATGAAAGACAATATAGGTTTATTTAAAAAAAACACACAATGGTGGACAGCACAGAGTATGCTCTGTAAAAAGGTAAAAATGCATTATTTTTTGCTTTTGGAAGCACATTCTTTATGGAAGTTATAACGGCCACCGTTAAAGTGCTGCCTCCCCTGCCCCCGCCCCCCAGCCATTTGCTATGATACGTATGGAGATTTCTTCATAGAGATTTCATATAGAGATTTCTTCACATAAATTGGCTTTTTTTGTAAACATTAGCTTGGAAGTTTCGTTCTTTTCTTCCTTAAACATCTCTGTAGTCTATAGTGGATTTCTTTCTATGAAATTACAGTCAGGCATATCTCTTTTTTCTTATAACACTTCCAGATCTATGACATTTCATGTAAATAGCTTCCTGTCCCCAGCAGAACTTAAGTTGTTTCATTTTCTGTTATATATTACGCTGCAGTGAGCACACTAGGTAGTCTATCATAATTTGCTCGTGTAGTGAACACCTAGAGACAGGAGTGCTCCACATGAAGAATGTATGTTGAAGACTTTGATAAATATGCCAAGTCTGTCCCCCCAAAAGGCCATCTCATTGACAGCCCTCACATGAAAACGGTCCCTTTCTCCTTGGTAATCTGGTAGGCTAAAAACCCAGTAACTTCTGGCTGCTTTCACTTGGCCTCTTGGGGGATGGTTTCTAGAATCTGCAGGGCTTTGTCTCCCAGGAAGGGCGCTAGTGACCATCAGGCAGGAAACTGGCATCTCAGTTTCTGTAGGTTAAATGATGTTGCAGACCCAGTTCACAGCACATGTGCAGAGGGTCTGTAGCTGCTGTTTTATAAAGTAGCCCAGGCTCTTGGCGGAAGCCTGGCAGCGGACCAACAGAGCAGATGCTCCCCACTGCTGCTGTCCTTCAAGGTAACACCCACAGTCTCTCAGCCAGCCTTTTCTCCACTTCTCTCTGGGTGGAGTCCCGGTTAAAGGGAGACAGTGTGGCTTTTGTGTCTCTGGGAAGTGTCCCTGTTCGCCTGTCCACCTCTCTGCTGCTTGCTCTTAGCACTGGCTCTTGTCATTCCTGATTTGGGAAATACTCAGAAACTTTTCCTGGCCACAGGTTCTCCTTGAACCAGCTGGCTGGCAATGGTGACTCTTTTAGCAAGCAGCCTTCAGTCTGACTTAGCCACTCCTTGAATTTGAATAAATCCCCTGGAGACGAAGCTATGTGAAACCTAAGCTCAGAGCCTCCTACCACCCACAGTTTTCCCTGGTTGTTGAGCAGGTATGGGGCTCCTTCACTTCCATCCAACCTCTCCAGGCTTAACCCAAGAGGGACAGCTGCTCTGCTCCTGACACTGCAACGCTCTCTTTTTTTAGAAAGAGCTGGACTTTTATACTTAATTTTCTTCCCACACCCAGCGAGTCATAGGCTTTTGCAGACATCAATATTTTGTTCAATACTTATTCAAAAGTATTTGCTGGATACCAGCACATGCCGGCTCTTATCACAGATGCTAGAAACACTGCAATGAACAATACAGGCACTGCTGTCATTCTCCGGGCACTTATATACCAGTTGGTGGGAGATGAACACAGAAACTGTCTCCCTGTTGTCAGCTCTTTCTCTAGCTCTGCCTTTGTCTCTGGCTGTTTTTCAGTATGTCTCTGTGTCTCTGTCTTGATCATTATAACAGATGAAAGAAAATGCAGACTCAGAACTGTAAAGTTTTGCATTTTCCCTTTTCTTTATGAGTCTAATATTTCCATGTCATTGTAAAATCTATGTCTTAACAGACAGATGCGTATAATGGTTTGTCACAGCATTCTGTCCTGTTCACCGACTGAATGGATTTTGATTATGGACAGGGACGGTGGATGGGAACGGATGATGTGATTTTTGCATTTACATGGCCTGGTGGTAAGTGGGTTACAGGAGAACAAGGGAGTTGATGCTGAACTGAACAGTGTAAGTGGGAATTATGCGCGCTGTGCTCCCCACTGTGTGATAGGAAAGGGAGTCTTTTATGGCTGGGCTCAGGGATTCTTGGGTAAGAATGAAAACAAGGAAAGGAAAGGAAGAGCAGTCTGTTAGCACTGAGGGGCTCTCCTGATCCCTGAGACATGGGGAGGGAGTGGTGACTTTACAGACATTCCCAGGGGGAGACAGGGCTCTGTCTGTATCGCAAGGTCTCACTAACACTTCTTATCTTTGCAAGATAACAGCTCTCAAAATCAAACACAACCCTTTCGCCAAGGCCTTCTTGGATGCCAAGGAAAGGTGAGTGGGATTTCAGTCAGATCTTGCCAGCTGAATTCTGCAGACAGGAGGCTTCTTGAGCAGAGCTGGTGCTCGCCTGGCCTTCGCTGGAAACATGCTGCAATGCTCAGGTTACCGACGAACAAACTCAACAAAATTCAAACCAAGTCACAGGTGGTTGTTCCTACAGCAGGTCCTTTAGGTCCAGGAGAGCCCACAGCTGGCAGCATTTTATCATCTTTGTTTTACTGTGGATTATTGAATGTAACATAACCACCTTAAAATGTGATTTAGATTTTAAAATAATTTACTCCACATTTTACCCAACTTTTAAGAATATGTATACTGCTATTTTATTTTATTTTATTTTATTTTATTTTGTTTTATTTTCAAGACAGGTTTTCTCTGTGTAGCTCTGGTAGTCCTGGAACTCACTCTGTAGACCAAGCTGGCTTTAAACTCACAGAGATCCGCCTGCCTCTGACTCCTGAGTGCTGGGATTAAAGGCATGACCCACTCCCCGCTCCTCCCCTGTCCCCTGATTTATTTTATTTTTTTGAGGCATGATCTCAGGTAGACCAGGCTGGCCTTGAACTGTCTGTGTCTCTGAGGATGAACTTCTGATCCTCCGTTTGCCCAGTGCTGACTTGCAGGCATGTACCACCATGCTCTGTGTATGTGGGGCTGGGGTTGAAGCTTGAACATTGTGCATCCTACACAAGCTTTCTACCAACTTGGCTATACTCTCCAACCCAGGAACATGGTTCTTATAATTCCCTCTTTTGTTTAGATGGGATCTCTTTATGACCTCACAGTGCCCACTCTGCTGCCTCTGTCCCTGGAGTAGCGGGATTCAGGCATATACTGCCACATCTGACTTTCTTTTGTCTGTTTGTTTGTTTAGAAAAAAGTTATCCTTAGTGCAAGAAAAGGGTAAAAAACAGTGGGAAGCTCCTACTTCTCAACCGTGAGGAGAAAAGTTAGGGACTTTCTGGGGCATGACTGGTGATCTGCCATTTTGGGTGAATGTCTTGCTAACTTCCCACCTTTCCTTTCCATGGAAGGATAAGATGAAATAGAGCAACACCCCCAGTTCATGTTTCTACAGATGGCTCCTGCCGGATAGCTAGAGTCACTTTTGAATTGTTCCAATTTTACTGACCAAGTTTCAATTTTTTTCCATTTATTTTTAAGATTTATTTATTATATATACAGCATTCTGCCTGCATGTATGCCTGCAGGCCAGAAGAGGACACTAGATCTCATTATTGATCGTTGTGAGCCACCAGGTGGTTGCTGGGAATTGAACTCAGAACCTTTGGAAGAGTAAGCTTTACTCTTAACCTCTGAGCCATCTCTCCAGTCCCCACTTATTATTTTTAATGTCTAATCTCTCCTTTTCCCTTTAAAGGTTATCATTTTAAAGGATGGCCATTTTAAATGCTATGCCACAGGAGTCTGTTCTGTTCAGTATTTGAGAACATTTTGTGCTGTAAAGGACATACTTGGATACGTTTTTCAGATAACAGAAGTCCTAAAGAACAAGTTGATCCAGGATGTGACAAAATCTAGATCAAAATAGATAGCAGCAATGCTATGATGGAAAGAGTTCAGAAACCTGCTGAATGGTGGTGGCACACGCCTTTAGTCCCAGCACTTGGGAGGCAGAGGCAGGAAGATCTCTGTGAGTTTGAGGCCAGCCTGGTCTACAGAGGGAGTTCTAGGACAGCTAGGGAAAGAAAGAAAGAAGAAAGAAAAGGAAGGAAGAAAGAAGAAATGTGTAGTGTTTCCCACAGAGGGTCAATGGTGGATCTACTATATCACCTATGGAATTGTCCCAAAGCCCTGTACAGAGCCTAGCTGCTGTTATTACTGCCCTAATCTTCTCAGGGATGTAAAAGAAGTCAGTGTAAAAGTGATGACTGCAAGAATGACAAGAAAGGAAAAGTGGGGTTGCCATGGTTACGATGATGCATCAGTGTTTCCAGGAAGGTGAACTTGGGGAGGGTAATAGCCTTGACTGCTCTTACTTCAGGAAGTTTATCGTCCCCTGCAGACAGGTTTACATGCTTTATGCTAGACTGTAACTGACTTTTGTTACTCTTTCAGAAACCACCTCAAGGACATTCCAGAGGCGGTCTCTGAGAGCCAGCATGTGACCTATTCTCACTGTGAGTGGAGTGGACAGTATGTGGGGGACACTCGGGGTCACATGGGAGCCATCTCCTTTCTTGTTCATTTTACTGTCTTGACTGTGTAAGTTCTATTGAGATTCATCCCATAGATTCTCTCTCCCACCTGGGGGCAAGTTTATGTCCTTTCTAGAGTTCTTAGAGAGAAGCCGAGTATGTAGGCTGAAGAGGCCCAAACAAACCTTAGGTAGGAGCCTTGAATGTAAGTAACAAATGCTATGCTCTCTATAAGAAAGAGCTCTGTAACAGGCATCCTGTCACAGTGAGGTGCCTCAGCAGGCTGTGGTCTCGAGTGTTAGGACTTGGCTGAGCTGATGGGAGGGCAGGGAGAGCTTGGCCACCACACCTGGGATTCTGAGGTAGCACTGACATTCCTGGTGGTGGCTCTTTATCCATGACCCAGCACACCGGAGGTTTGTGGCAGAGCCAGGCTTCTGAAGCGACGATGATAACCCAAGGGCGGAGAAGTGGGAGTGAAGTTCACCTTCTGACACACTTTTTTTTTTAAAAGTTGAAAATAGATTTTTCTCTTATACAATGCACTCTGACCACATTTTCCCCTTTCTCCACTCCTGCAAGCCCCACTTTGGCTCCCTCTTTCCCCTAGATCCAACCCCTCTGCATTTCCCTTCAGAAAGGAGCAGGCCTTTAAGAGACAACAACCAACACAACAAAACAAGATACAATAAGACAAGGCAAAAGCCTTCATATTGACCTGGACAAGGCAACCCAACAGGAGGAAAAGTGTCCCAGGGGCAGGCAGAAGGATCAGAGACTTCCACTGTTAGGAGCCCCACAAAAACACCAAGCTAACAGCTATATATCTATATGTGTACATCTATCTATCTATCTATCTATCTATCTATCTATCTATCTATCTATCTATCTATCTATCT